CCAGTCGACTCCCGGTATCGTGGAAGACTCGGACACATACCCCGTGCTGATGAAATGGGATGCTCTTAGCCGGGTGGTCCACGACATCAGCGTGGTGACAAACCCCTGGGAGATTGATCACCTGCCAGGCTGCCAGGGACCTCGAGGAGCGTTATGGTGGACACGATTTGGACGCAACGGGGACCGGAAACCCCCGCCAAAGCACCATTTTAAGTGCGGAAGCGGCGACCTGCACGCGTTATATAGCAACGTATAACGACGGACGAAAACTTAATAACGCAATATTTTACCCCGACCTAACGGATTCTGGGTGGGGGGGGAGCAATTCATCACGTGCGTTTTCAAAGGTGCCAAAGCAGGCCTTCTCTAATGCTGGCAAATTTTGCTGGACATTTTGATGATGATTATGAAGATAATACCACTGATGGCAGAGATGATAAATTGGAATTTATGATAGCTTGTTTTTTGTAAAACAACGTGGTATATATAGTCGGAAGACAGTCTGCCATGTGAGTATTATGATCGACTCAATAACTCTCCAGACACGTCGATCAAAATGTTCACCGAATCGTCAACGTTTTGACGATATGAATTTGAAACCCCCCGTCCGGTCCGGTCGTAGGCTTAGCTGATATTGCAACCTGGTAACGGAGCGGTATGATACCATAAGTTGATGTTTACACCGTTGCTATCACGGCGACTTGTTTACATCCGGTGCAATCTATTTTTAGCTACAGCAAAACCAATGTTTTGTTTACATAGTTGTTATTGCCACAGCAACGCAATGTTCTTACTACAGCTGGTCCCCAACCAATCAACAACGACCATGTCCCAGCATATGACTATATAGTGAGGTCCACGCGAGCTCAACGATCAGTCTCTTAGAGGGAACCAAAGAGTCATCTTCCAACAACCAAGTCAAGATTCACTCCGGTGTACCATTCTGTTAGACCAAAAGACGCTCAAAAGGATCAACCGCTCGTCGTGGTCAAGACGGTAAATACACAGCTCAGCTGGAAGGCCGTTGACAAAGAGAAACCAGCTGTAATCTATTGCATGGTCGTTGTCAAGGCAGATGTAGCAACGGGCCTATTCCAAGAGGAAAACTTGTGTTAGATTGGAGCGGTGAACGTCCGGCGTTCCTATTCGGGCAGATTTTCGAGATCCGTTCTACGGCTATCGAACAGATCACTGACCATTCAAAGGACATAATATATCGTTATGTAATTATTTTCAAAAAAATATCATAAAATTACATACTTGCCCGGAAGCAACATTGAACAAATTATTTTCCATGATTGGTGCGAATTATTTCAGACGCTGCTGACTAAGCAGTGAGCCTCGTCTTTTGTATTGTTTTAAATTATGTTGTTGTTGTTCTTCTTCTTCGTAGTTGACGGCCTTTAAGACCAAACAGACAAACACATGCCATGCCATCTCTCTCTGTCCTGCGCTAGGACTCGCTAATCAGCACCCGGTTCAACCCGCTCCACATCTTTTGACACCTGGTCTTCCCACCTCAACCTTGGTCTACCAAGTGGTCTTACGCCTTCTGAAGAGCCACATAGTACCTTGTGTATAAGGGCGCTTTCTTTTCGCCATGCTTGGCCAGCCCAAAAAAGCCGCCTCTTTATTATATCGTCGACTATGTTTAGTTTCTGATATAGCTCCCTGATCTCCACATTACAAATTTTGTTGTATTATTTTTTATTTAAACATTATTTTTATTGTAATATTTTTTAGTACTAATGTTTTTGAGGAGGATGAATGGCCGAGTGAGTAAGGTGGCAGTGTGATAACGCTCACTGTCGCTCCGTTTGCTGGGCGTGCAACCGTCCGGTTAAAAGGAGCCGGCATTCCTTCCCCGTATGATATTAACATTAAAATGTATAAAATATTACATTTTAATGATACTCTAGTGCAAACAATGAGCGCGTTGATTAGTTTTTTGTGGTTTGTTTTAAAGCTAAGTGCGTAAAAGGAATCTAATTAACTTAGTTTATCGTCACACGATGAGTGAACTTAAACAGAAGATTTACCTTCTGGGAAATCGGTGGTCAGGTGGAATAGCGGGCGGCTTGCGAATAATCACTTGGGCGATGGGCTGCGCTTACGGATTTTAATTAAATTAGTTAACCTCGTTAGCGTTGAACGTTATTAGTGAGTGTATTTTTATTAACAGGAGAGAGTGCGGATGCTGTACGCGAATATCCGGCAAAACTTACAGATTGTTTCGCAAAAGGCACGTATACTATAGCGGTGGGCGTGTGATAATGTACATTGATGCAGTAGTAGATGACAACACTCAAAATAGGATTTACTTTAACTCTACGACTGTTCCAAAACTACAATACATAGCGTCGAAATGCTCAAGAGGATTTTGCTTGCACTGTAGGAGAAGGCTAAACTTCGCCTTGGCATTAAATTACAACGTTGTTTCTCTATTTGAACTTATGCTGTCGATAGGGATACATGGTGTTCGACTTAAAGGTTCTGATACACCAATGCAACACATTTTACTTCTACGAGTATATTGTAAGCCGTTTGGATAGCTGCTACAAGTGCATAAGCGATCACTTGACCGTACTTGGTTTCCATTACAACGAAAACGCAAGTGAAATAATATCGTCTGCTGCAAACTTAAATAGCCAATAAATAGTAAATAAAGTTATACAGAAAAACATCTATACATATTAGTAAATCCGTATTTGATTTTAACTGAATGAATTCAGTAATGTAATTTTTTTTATTTCAAATAGTTTGGTCTCCAATTTACTGAACATAGTTTTCTTAGAAAGCATATAACATTTAAATAGCCTTATTACAATGAGATATACTATAATATTTGCGTGAATAGCAATAACGTTGATAATGCATTGAAGAAAAAGTCAAATTAATTTTCCCAGTTTAATAACCCATGACGAGCGCTAAGCGCGCTATAATCAGGCAACGGTAATCGTGAAAGCAACTATAGGGCTTTCGACTTAATTGTATTATTATTCTCAGACTATTTTCTGCGAAAGTGTTCTTAATTCCATTTAGTGCACGCTTATATAAGTCATTTTTCTCTGAAGAGATAATTATACACGTGACTTGCCGTTTAAGTTGATAGCACTTTGGAAAATAATAAAAAAGGTAAATATTTGATAGTTTTATAATATTTTTTGCAATACAATTCATAAAAATGTTTTCAACAAGAAAAACTACAAAATTATCATTTTGAAGAATTTTCCAAAAAATGACGGTCTTACGTATAATGGATCACCCAAACAACCAAAAAAGTTCTTATTCTCATTCTTATTCTTATTCTCGTTGCAATAATCCAATTGTATGATTATTGCAATTTTAATTGAATTTCATGTATGAAAAGTAATTCGGTACAAACCAAGTTAAGTGCTCTAAACGAATTATCAATCATCTAAATTACGGATGACATGGAATTATACCGGATGAAATTTTCATTAAATATAATACACTGCCATAATTAAATGGATGAAGAACTAGAAGATTATAGAAGTACTGATAAATAAAATAATCGAATTAAACCAAAAAAAAAATGATCGCGTTACGCGTGATTGAGTAGGTAAGATTACTGACATGTTTCGAAAAAATGCCTCGTATTAAGTCAACAATCTAATAAAACTATTTTACCCTTATCATGAAAAGGCTTTTAAGAATGTATCGTGTTGCATCTTTAATGGTTATAAATTTCCAAAGAAAGTAGATTTTTAGTGAAGATAAAAATAAAAACACGGAAATCTAGTAAAATAATTGTTGCAATAGGTTGGCAATTATTAATTTATCTCCAAGTATGTCCAATGGAAATCTGAGAAAAATGATTATTTCAAAATTCAACGAATTTAAGTGTAAACCCGATTTTATGATGCTACTGATGGAAAAAGTCTTTGTGACTTCATCGACCGAAGATTACTGTTACCAGCCTGGCCCATACTTTTCAATTCTAAATATTATACATATATTTAATACACATTGGACAAGCTTAGGGCATAACATGAAAAGTTCACTTAAAGCATTACTAAAAATACTGAATTGAGAACAGTATGAAATTATGGAAAATATATCATTATATTATTATTATTTAGTGTACCTACATAAAAATGGCACGTTGCAAATGATTTGTCAATACATAGTTAGTTTAAATGCGATACAAAAAACAAAAAAATACTAAGAAAGACATTTTTGTTTATTCAAATTTAGCGAGCGTTGATGTAAAGAAAGTACAGCGGTATTTTATATGTGTATTTGCCTGTTGTTTTCCGTCTTTGGGTTTTGAGACACTAACCTTTCAGTTCGAGTAAGACCCAACAGCATTTATGACGAGTAGCGACAATTATGGGGTGGGTACTGCCGCGTACACTTGTCAGCTGGATTAATAATTACAACTAATTGACGAAAACCACACAATAGCTGATGAGTATACGCACTTTAATAACACGTTGGTACTTAAGACCAAACTAGAAGGGTTATCTACGCTTTCGTACTTCAGATCGTAGTTTCCGCGCCGCTATGCTGAACGCCACGTGTAAGTGAAACATACCATATATAATATATTATGTACAATATGGAAATGGAAATGGATGTAGTCGTTATGGAAATGGTTGCTCGAGTGATTCTACACGCGATTCTGCACGCCCGTTAGATGTACATATGTCCCCAAGTCTCCGGAACTTACAGCGAGTTTAATTTATGTGTTGCTCGAATTCGGACCCCGGTTTAAGTTGACCCAAAGTTCACACAGTCCTAACCACCTACCTGTGCGCACACACAATATTACTAAACATCAATATCCACATATCACAAGTCATCAGTTAATATACCGACAGTAGACATTGTTTTAGAAAATAAATAAAATTAATCAATAGTGATAGTATTGTGATTTTTTTTTTTGAAATTATTGTTAATAAATGAGATTTATTAATGCATTATACTATTGTGGAAACATTTTTTAATTTCTTCAAAAATCCTAATTACACACAATTCTCATCAAAAATTATTTCTCTTTATGTACTTTCTTTGATTTATTTTTTCATTCCGGTATCGACGGACGCTGTGTTATTACCGTTGCTATACTGTTCTGTGTCCCATTTTGTCACCTGCAATAATATAAATAATGAACAATAAATTATGTTTTCCTTAAAATGCAATTACATTAAGTTTGTACATTCCATTACCGAAAACTAAAACTATGTATTTCTATAATATGTTCAAAACTTATCACGTTCATAATAATATGTTTTAGCATATTATATTAAAAATATATTTAATAAATTATATTAATAATTTATAGATTGCTAAACTTTGGTCTGGAGGTTATTTTTAATTATATAAAACAATACTTAATAAGTTTTATATGCATGTTATAAATAGGTATATAAGACTTTTAATTTATTAATTAACTCTGTTAAAACGTTTTGAATTTTAGATTTATGAAATTAAAAATGTAATAAAGTTATGAGAATTTGTTTAACGTGTTTTTTTGTTAGTGGTTATACTTTAAGTACATTGGAAATATAATATTATGCACTTCTTATTAACGTGGTTAAATTTTGGTAGTCAACACACACATGTTTAGAAAAATGTATAAATATATGAATGAAATAATAAATATAAAATTAAAAATGATTTCGTATAAAAATTTCAGAGGAAACCCCAAAATGCTCATATTTATTGACGAGATCATATTTATTAACGTGGGCAGATCTTTTAGGTCACGTTAAAGTTGGTCTAGAAGAAAGAAACAAATGAGCGATAGTGAAATAAATATGAAAACATTTTTAGATAAACTGTCGTGCGCCGAAGATAAAATACTAGAAAAATCTGTTAAATTTAATCAGATTGTTTTCTAGATGTACACGAAAAAACACATAAATATGTGTTTTACTTTTAGTATTGTATTGAAAAAATGATCAAAAATGATGACAAAATTAATATCTACCTACTATCTGCGTCATATGGATGCTTTAAGCCTTAAAATTTTAAGTGTACCCCTTTAAGTTGAAAAATATGATGTAGTATATTATATGTATGATGTATTATGTATATTCTAATTATTGGATGCACTTTTTTTATATTTCTAAAAATATTCACATTTTTTTCAAGTTAATTATTGTATTGTATGCTAACCAAAATTTTATTTATGTAGACTTCGTATGGAATCACGGTATTGCCGGTGGCCGTTTCGACGGTTGCCACTGACATCATCTCCTCGATTTCTTCTTCTTCAAATGGTTCGCCATCGTGTCGTAGAGCCGCTTCCATGCACTCGCGGCTAATAGTGCCGGTTTTCTCTGGGTCTAAGGCTCGAAACGCATTCAACAGTTCTGAGGCGGAAGCCGGTTGATACCTGCGGTGAGTTTAAGTTAATTCTAATGTTCAAATCGTTTAAAGCGAATTTTAGGCCAAGATAGAGATTATAGTAGTCACATGTATTCAGTGATAGCGTTTTCAACGTAAGGTAAAAACGCTGCTAGATGAACTGTTCCTGTGGCTTCGTGGTCTTCAACGTTCACAGCGAGTTCCCTTAGATCAGCTTGCGATGGCACATAACCTGAAAAATGATGAACGTTTTTTTATGGAAAAAAAAAATACATTTTAAAATGGATCAGGCAAACACGAACAGTGCAAAACGGTTAGTTAATAATATTCAGCGGATTCATTTTGAAATAAGTAATATGGATTTTATGGTTTAATTGTAAGTTTATTGTGATATTTTAACGAAATTTTATATTATATTTTATGTTTAGTCACAAATAACGTAATGCTATATTAAAAAAGTTTTGAAAACATTACTTTGTGAACAAAAATCAGTTTACCATAATGTTAACTATCACTCCTTACTTGTTTGCTTTAAAATTATATTATAGTAAAACGTTTACCTCAAGAAGTTATAATAAATTGTTTTCTACAAGCTCATAATAAAATGAATGTTCCATAAAAATAAACACTACAATCGCTTCCGAGTACATAACAGATTAAACAGGGAGAAGTATGGTTGTCCTTTAAAATTTAAGGAGATTCGGGGAAGCATGTTTGTATTTGCGAAGATACTTATTTTAAAATGGGTTTTGTACATAACGCTTTTAAAAAAAAAACTGCTGTACCTTTTTCTTAAATTTTCTAACGTGGAAAAGAAATGTGAAAACATACGTATACAAAATCTTAACATCCAAAAATAGTCAATTCAACGAACGATTTTATCTGGAAAAACATCTTTTTTAAAGTTTTGAAACTTGGTGAACATTTTCTTTAAGATCTCTTGATTGACCAAAAAAAATTTCGCCCCCCCCCCCCTTACGAAGACCGGAAGTGTTGTTTTTTAAGTATGATTTTACAGTTTTTCTCAATTATCATCAAAAATATTAGTTTTACGACAAAAATAGTTCTATTAAAAAATATGGTTGACAAAATTTCCAGAAAATATGATTCTGTGCTTTTTTCTGGGAGTTGAATAATAAATTGATTATATCTCACTGCGCATCGTAATATTTTTTCCGTAAAAGTAATGTTTTTGATGATAATTGAGAAAACCAGTAAAAATTTACTTAAAAAACAAAACAATACTTACACGAGTAAGTAAATACACGTGTAACACGTGTACTTCACATACACGTGTAGAAGTTCGTGTAATTATAACTACACGTGTAGTACAAGTTCGTGTAGTTCGAATACACGTGTACAATACACGAACTACACAAACTTCTACTCGTGTATTCGAACTACACGAACTTCTACACGTTTATTCGAACTACACAAACTTGTACTACACGTGTATTCGAACTACACGAACTTCTACACGTGATTTCGAACTACACGAACTTCACCTACACGTATATTTAAAAATACACGTGTAGAATCGGCGGCTCTATTATGTTGATGGGCAAAAATGAATAACTTTTTTTTGTATCAGTGGTGTAACTAAAGACTAAAGCACCCAGGAGCATGACATTTTTCTTACACCCTATATTACATGTTAACGTGTAATATACAATAAAACGCTACCTATATACAGTAAAAAAAAAAAAATTGATTGGTTTTGGTTTCTGATTTGTTAATCTGATCAAGACACGTTTCTGTTCGTTCCATTGCCGAACTTTTGTCAAGCTTTTAAAAAATACAATTTCCATTGCAATAGAAACTACATAATATTCAATATACGCATTTAATATGTTTTTGTTGTATTGGTTACTTTTTGCTTGTAGCAACTATTAATTTGAAAGCGAACTGAAACTTGATTTTTATTTAGAATACTTGTTGTCGTACAACGAATACTCATACCGCTAAACTATCGCAGTGTCTCGAGTGTCGTCTTTATAAACGATGAGCACACTTAACCGGCATCGCTATATCATTCTGTATACAAATATGACAGCATAGTTGTGGGCACTTATTGTCATTGATTGTTAAAGGACTGTCGTGTTTGGGGAATTGAGACCAAGTACCCCGCATTCCACTATACCTGTATAGACTATGCATTGCACCAGAAAGGATATTGACATAATACCCGCTTTTGTCTTGTGTAGTACTTTTGGTTATTACTTTATTGTGCATAGCTATTGAATTGTTTCCGAAAAAAACCTCCCATACAAAATGTGACGAGTTGAGTGCTCTTAAATTCAGCTATATATAAACACAATAGGTATGTGTATATCACGATTGCTATATGGATGTACTCATGTATTTTTTATGGTCTAGAAAGTGTTGTTGGTTGATTGTGTATCGGTTTAGCTTCGACGTGCAAAGCAGGGCATATTGTACTTGTAGTAAAAATGTTTAAATTTTTTTTCTTAAACTTAATGTGGTGTAGTTAATTTTAAATAATTTTCAAACGTCTATAAACTATAAAACTAAGTCTTATTGTCAACATACCGAGATAACGTAGAACGGTGCCGAGTTCACGGACGTCTATTGTACGATTACCGCTGTGATCGAAGATATCAAAAGCATCAGCTATCGTTGCGGTGGTTGTGGAGGTCGACAAAGGTTTCACTTGACCGTTGTTGCACTTTTTTTGCACTGCAGTGGATACACAAGTTCCAGACATCTCATGCCCACCGTCACTGCTGCAGTTTGCCGTCGACATGAAAAAAAAAATAAGTATGTATCCACAATGTTTCCAATAAACTATTTAAGTAAATGTCAACCGAGCCGTTCTTCGAGTATGACAAAGCTGAATGTATTTCATACGATGCCGCGTCGTCTGACGTTATTTACGCATTATGGTTTATCGATCAAACGTTCTTACTTTACACTCATACATATATCTACCGCCGGTAACCCATATTATATTAGGTATACTTGTTTGTTGCTCAGTTTTTAATTCTAAGCCAATAATGCAACCAGGATTTTCCAAAGGAAGCCGATGAGGGGGGGGGGGGTATAAACATAACAAATTCGTTCATGGAACGACTCAATATAAATTTCAAATTAAATATATCCTATTTCATAACAATTGTGTTAATGATTCATGTACACAATAATTTTATTTTCATATTTATCCGTCTTATGTTTTATAAAACTAAAGCCGAGAATGAAAAAGAAAAATGTTTAAACGTTGCTGGCGAGACGCACATGTATAAAACTTTTTTTGGGGTCCTATTCCTGACAGCTAATGTCAAGTTTCCATAATCTAACCGCACCTTTACATTCAGCCCACTTCCGTAGTAGTGAGTATGTTTTTTTGAATGTATACGGTCCTAGGGGGGGGGGGCAGCCCGGAGTCCACGCTTTGGTTGTACCTCTATTATAATTTTACATTATTTTACCAAAAAAAAAATGTAATAAATACGTATTTAGGAAAAAAGTGAGTGCCGGTCTAAAAAATAATTTTAACTTGAAAAAGTAATCCTCTTGCAATGATTATTTTTCTTAATTATCAAGTATAATAGAAGAATTCGTTAAATGTTCCAACGCGTTTTAATTATCAAGTAGTATAATTATAAGAATCACAAAAATATAACGGATCAAAACTGTTTCCATCGGCTTTAAAAGTCGTAATCCATTTGACAGAAATAACTTCATTAATTTCGAATCTTTTTTGAAGTATCTATTTAGCTGGTAATTGGAAATCGAATTATTTTTAATGAATACACAAAACACGCCAAAGACTTTTTTCCGGTACTCCTTTTATCTTTTAGCCAATACAATGCATAATTTATGTTTGTTTTTTCAATACACATTTTATTTTTAAATCGAGTATTTGTTTTGTGCCTTAAGAAATTAATTTATCGGCAATTATTATGCTTACTATAAGAAATTCACAAATTTCTATTATTAAAAGCTAAAACAATAAATGACACGATATTGTTTCAGGCTAAAAATTAAAATGAGAATATTTGTTTTACATTGATGTAATTTTGATTTAACAACATTTTAATATTTGTATCCAATGTTTAGAACTTAGAAGCCCATTAGACATCTTAGTCTCTATTGCTATGCTCGATTCAATTACAAATTTCTCTCGGTTTATCAAACAAATTAACTTATTACACTTGTTCTAAAATATGTTTAAAATAATTTAATCGTCGCCCCGATTGTAATTACAGACAGTCTATTTCACATTTGCTCTAGATTTGTTATGAGTCAAAGTAATATATTTATTAATTTATCTAGATTAATTATCAAGAGTTTATAACAATGTATCGACTACCGTTCCTAATAATTCGGTACCCAACTATATAAATCAACCAAAAACCTTCGCCGGTTTATTTAGTTAATGGAGGATCACACAATTACTATAATAGCTCTTCTTAAATTTGAGTTAAAACTAATAACGTTTCGCGCCCACATTGATAGAATAGTTGATGAAGTTTTAAGACTTAATTACCCGAGCGCCTGAATTCTAATGTCTTGACATAAGACGTGGGGGTGGAAAAAAATATTATAGGTCTGCTTTTTTTAATTAAATTTTCTTTTTTCCAAGAAAAACCTCAGGGGGGTTAAACACAGATTTTAATTATCCTATGTAGGTATTACCGGTATTTCTATAGACACACTATCAATCACGTCAAAACCATTAAAAAAAAATTCACATTATTTGATCAATGTACATTTTCATCAAAATCTACAAGAAAAGTGTAGTTGTGTAGTTTTCACTTGATTTTAATAAACATTACTTTATACAATAATAACGTTCCGTCAGTTGAAAAATGTAATATCCAAACTGACACACAAATTATTTCAAACGTTCTGATTATTTGTTATATTAGTGAAAAGTGAGTAAAGAATTGATAATTCTGTTTTTAATTTTTCTTGAAATAGTCATTAACAATACACTTCTTGAAATTAAAATATTACTTATTTTGAATAGCGAGATAATAATTCATGTTTATCGTTGTTTCGCTTTGTAAAACATGATGATATCTATGTCTGAACTGTAAAAAAGCACCATAACGTTTGAACGAATTCAAATAAATATATATATATATATTTTTTTTTTTGGTCGGCTATTGAAAAATAATTTGGCCACATCTGTTTGGTATTCCATTGGTTTTAAATATGTAAAAGAAAAGTACACATTTTCACAAAAAAAAAAAAAAACGAACAACAAATAATATTATTATTAATATGTAATCAATAATATTATGCTATACTTGGAACCCACGAGTCAAGCGAGGCATGAATAGAAAAGTACCCGTAGAATGTATACGTAGGTTTGGTAAAATATAATGTTCTATATCTTTCTTAAATTCTTTTTTAAACCATTTATTAAGATTGGATACAATATACGATCAATAATATTTTGTACAGAGTTATCCGATTTGATCAAACAAGCCAATGTAAGCATGTTGTAAAATAATATTAAAACAAAAATAAAGCCAACAAATAAATGTAGAAACTTAAAAAGTCGCTTACTCAATACGTATGGCTATAGAAGATTTGTTGCACACAAATTTAAGGTAAAAGTAAATTAATAGTTAACAGTTAATTAAGCTATGATGTCTGTACTCTTATGCCCAATCGGGCATAAACAATATTACTATGGGGAATGAAAGCGGTCAAGTTTACAGCATCAGTTTTATCTAGGCAATATTTAATAAAAAAGGGGTTTTAATAAATTTCGACCATATCAATTTGTATTCAGGTTCATTTGTAATTTGTATACGCTTCATAGTATTAGTTTTAACGTATACAATTTTTCCTACGACTTAAAGTTATTTTGGTAGTACATGATACCAATTTAGATCTAAAGACCTGACATAATTACGCCTACTTCGGATGATCGGATTCTAATTCTGTAAAAATATTTGAACTTATCCGCCATTTTCCCAGGTTATTTTGGATGTACATTTTTTAATAACTATTTCATTTACTAAAAAAGACAAGGAAGTGAATACTAAAAGTTTGAAAAACTAAAATAGGATTAAAACATAATTTTAATTGAATTATTAAATTGAATCGATTCCCTCAATAGCCTAGAAAAGAGGCAGTTGTTAAGCTCAAATATTTTTACAGAATTTAAATCAGACCACCTTACGTTGGCGTAATTTTGTCAGGATTTTAGGTCTAAAACGTTCAAAAAAACGTCTCTCGATTAGGCTATTGAAAATAAGTTAGAAAAATCTGTAAAAATACAAATGATTTGCCTGGTTTTCTTTGGCTGTCGATTATTATTAGAGTGTCGTTGTGGTAGACGTTGACGTGCACTTTACACGTGTACTTACGGAAACCAATAAAAATGTCTGCCCATTCAATAGCGCAAAGTTCTCTTTGGCCTTTACCGTATTCATCAATTGTTCGATGGCGTTACTATACCAGTAACGTCTTTCGGAGCCGTTATTTATGGTAAACGCTGTAAAATGTTCCAAACGATAGTAGATTACGGTGAGCGACAAGATGATTTATTCATGTCCACATATTATTGCCGTTCCCGTGTGTTCACTCAAATACACAAAGAATTGAAAAACCCGTACCAAGCCTAATAGGCGCATTAGGCGTACAAAAAGTGACCGTTATTTTTGCACTTTAAATTTGGTCAAGGCGATCTTATTGTACAACAATAATAAAGAAACGATAAAATAAAAACGATGTAACTATAATTGTTATTACAAGTTATACAACTGACGAAAGTGGCAACAAGAAATAACAACAAGACATTAAAAGAAAACAGTGAAAATTTCAGTAAAAAAACATCAACGGTAACGATGGCGGTCATAAGTCTTTTGTACTAAGATAGAAACGAATAGTTGATTCATACTCGGCATGTTATTCATCACCGGCTGGAATAACTGATGCCCTTATGAACGCTTACTATTGCAGAAATTACTATTGTGGAGAATTCACTTAATGTACCAGTCTTTTCCACTAAAAAAAAAAATGCTGCCTCTCACCATTCCCGCCTAATTATATTATCTCATTAAAAACTTACCTAACAAAAAAAAAAATAGCCTGGTTATGACAAAATTACTAATAAAGTTCTCAAAAATGTTCAAAAATAAAGGGATGTTACATCTTGCTAAACTATTTAATGCTTAGCCAAATTGATAGAATGGAACTGGCTACTTCCGGAACAAGTGAAAAAAGCGACAATTATATTAGTCAAAAAAACAGGTTAAGAGAAAAGTATCCCGTCGATTTTTTCTATTTCTAAACTTTTCGGAAAAATTGTTTTTACAATATTTCGATTCTATCGACGCAGTTCCATTTTATCAATTTGGCATCTAATCTAACCATTCTATAACTCAACAACTTTTCCGTATAACAGAACAAATAAATTCAAAACCCGCAGTCTTTTTAGATGTGACACAAACCTTTGCGATCAAAGGCTTGTGCAGGTGTTCCTCAAGGGTCAAAACTCGCTCCTCTACTGTTCAACATCTATCTTGCTGATCTACCATCAAATAACAACACAAACTGGCCGTTTATGCAGACGATTGCGTGATCTATTCATCATCTCTTAAAAATATAATATCAAATATCCAATCATATCTAGCGGAAATTCAAAACTGGGTAACTAAATGACGAACGATGCTAAACCCGTCTAAAAGCACAGCGGTTCTTCTCTCACACCGTCGTTCAGAAAATCCTCCTCCTCTAACCTTAGGAGGTGTAAATATAAATTGGTCCCCTACAGTCAAATATTTGGGGTCATTTTAGACCGCAAAATGACATGAAACCCGCGTATCTCTTCAAAAATCCAGCAAGGTTATCAACGG